GAACGCTCAAAGCTCACTCCATTTGTTCCACTGACATATAACGTTTATGGATGTTAAGGACTACTAGATCTACCTTAATCGCTTTAGTTCCTAGCAATTTTTGATATAAATGTAATTAAACATAAAAAATACTTAAAACTGAAAAAAAACGAAAGAAATGCGTTAATTTTGAAGAAAAAGCTTCAAAGTTTAACTTCCTTTGTCTCGCCCTTCTATGAAATTTGACACTGATGAGTCATTGTTTACACAGCTTAATGACCTTGAGAACATCTGGTGTCGATTTCCCGGGACATTCTCATAGACATCTTGGAAGGACAAGGGTTTAAAGTAGGGTGAATACTAGCTGGCGGTATATTTTTAAATATTTTAAAAAAATTAAAATTTTAATTGCAATTTCCGACTCCCCCGATTTAATTAAACTTATATATAATAAAATATATTAATTAAAAAAATTAAAAAACTATTGGAGGTCATTTTTGACATCAGAAAGTAGCTTTAAATAACTTTACCGAAGTCAAATTCTTGCACTACAACTTTAGAACAATTAATTAAATTTGATAAAAAAATCGCATTAAAAAACAATTAAGCGTTAATTGCGCGTCATTAAAGGTTGATTAAAATCGCAATAAAATTTTTTTGCGCGGGTAAAAATTTTTGAAAACATTTGGAGACTTAAAAAACATTCCAAAAATCAAAAAAAAAAAAAATTTTCGGGGGCCGAAAGAACCGCATTTTCTGTAACGCTATGTAACCTGCCAGAGTTAACTCGGGTCTGGACGTTAAGGGGTTTTAATACACTTCTCCCAATGCAATAGAAATGCATTAATGCCAATTTGATGGAAATCACAACAACAAGAAGCCAAAAAGTCATTAAAGGTATTTTTTGTTGTGTTCTTTTCCTTGAAGACTTTTCTTGCCAAAAAATTGTCCAAATGTATAAAAAAAAGTAATAGTCTGTTAGCAAAAAGTTTGGAGAATAAGATGGATGGAAAGAATTTCATTTGAATACTTTCATTTTTATGATGAATAATTAAAGAACTGTGGACCTCTAAATGATGCTCCTTATCTCTCACTGAGTTTGTGTGGTACCCATTTGTTGAGCTTCTTGACTTTCCCTAACATGTTTTACACATTGAGAAATGATTGAATAATGTCCAGTATGTTCAACCTTTCTGCAACTTTTTGGACAGTCAGAAGAGTTCAATGATGATCTTCAATTCTGATTTTTGAGATTTGTATTCCTGGAATGAAATTTTTTGAATCAATCACTGGTGGCCTGCTCACTCACAGAACCTTCACCGAAAGTTTTATTGGTATTTCGGGTTGCTTTGGCTACATTATGTCCTTATACTAAAAAATATTATTCAATTTCCTTTTTTCATGCCATCAGGAAAAGTACTCTTAAACATGTAGAACTCACAATATAAATGACATTACATTTTTAAATTTACATATATTCATGCTCTTCCAATTGCAAACACACAGCACTGTTTGCATGGAAAAAAGTTGAACTACAAAGCTGGAAAGTTTAAATTTTAAAAAATGGCCATTTCATTTGCAATGACACAATATTAAAATTTAGGTTGTAGGTAATTAATGTATCATTTTGTAATTCTAGAGAGCAAGCACGAGAGATGTTTTATCATGCATACAATTCGTATATGGTAAGTAGAATATCAATATTTTCATATTAAAATAATAAACAAATATATTTGTTTTTGAAATAAGAGTACTATTGCTATGAAATTGATATACATTGTAGATGCTAAAATGTAAATTTAAAATTCATTAATAGAATAAAATAATCAAAATTTAGAAAGACCCAATTTGATATTAACACTAAGAACCTGATCAATTTTTTAATTTAGAGAGGTTAAAATACATAATTACTGACAAACAGCATGATTTAGATTTAATTAAATGAAAAACAAATGTTTTCATCCATTTGAAACGGTCATCATCAGATTTAGAACTAATAGAATGCATGTTTTAATATTAACATTAATAATTATAAATAAAATTAATTAATTTAAATTTAATGTTAATAAGAGATGGCGCCTAATGCTTACCTCTAGAGCCAAATTGGTTACATGTTTTAATAGAACAAAAATTTAAATTTTTAATAGTAATAATATAATATGAAAACTAATGAAATAATTTATTTTATGTTAAAGTTATATCATCGTAACAATTCATACACTTGCATATTTATTTATATTTGGTTAAAATTTAATACATACCTATAAACAGTCTAATGCTTACTTAAGTAAAGGAATTACATAATGAATTAACCATGTTTAATGAATAAAAAAATATTATTGTATTTCCTTAATTTTAACAAGTATGATGCACCTTTTTTACCCATATTTACTGTTCAAAATAGACACATATCTTAGAGTTGATGGTATTTACATTTGCTCTCCAGAACAGCAATCAGCAGTTTCTGCAAGTAGACCACATGATACATGTATGCTTCAATAATAAATGTTTTGAGTGTATTAAGCATTCATGAGAGTTTACTGGTAAAAAGCAAAAGTTCCTTTTAATATTTAAAGTACTGTACCTTCAAGACATTATTATGATGTAGAATTAAAACAAATAATTATTGTATAAGCAAAAGAGCATGGAAATAGAGCAACTGAATATTACACATTTCATGGTATTTATATTGTTTCCCCAGCTTATTTAACAAAAGTTAATAAAATTGATTATTTAAGTTTTCCCTCTATAAAAAAATATCTTAAAATTCAGTTCACACTTGTGTTTTAGAATTGAAGAGGTTTGAGCAAGTTAATGCAATGCTTCATTTTTCCACTATTTTAAGAAAATACATTTTGAAAGGTTGATCAAATTATCAAATTGCATTTGGTAACTGAATGTTGTTTGCAGTTCTTTATTATTGTTTTAGGTTTCTTAAATGGAGTATTGGCATTATTTATGAAGAATTATGATGCACTTACTTTCTATTGAAGTTTTTTCAGAGGCACTGTATCAGTATTTTGTGGCTTGGTACTATGTTGGCTCTAAAGAATAACAATTGTATGTTGCAAGTTTGAATGTATTCAAACCTCCAACATACAACCTGTACAACCTTCAAATGAATATTCAGACAGATTGTTGACCAGTTGGTGCTACTTTGTCATTTGGCATCACCATTTTTTATTCAGAATTTGCCTTATATCATTTAAGAAATCAAAAGAATATCAAGATCTCTATTACTCAGAAAAGAAAGAAAGGAAACCTTTTTTAAGAATATAGAATTTTTTGATGTTTCTGTATCTGGGTTACAAATGATGGAAGCATCTGTACTATCATGGTCTGCCATGATGTCCCAATTGGGTTAGTCTGCAAAATGAGTGGCATTTGATGGGAACATAATATATTAACTAGGGAAGGGAGTGGGATAAATACATTTCATTCTTTATTCCATGTTACAGTAACATTAAAAGAGAACTTCAACTGACTTGACTGTGACAAAGGACCAAACTACTGTATTAAACCATTAACTACATAGTTCCCCATCATGCATGATGGAGAACACTCTAGTATAGCAATAATTGAACTGAGTAATCTACTCAATTCCATCTGTGACCCAGATACAGAACCATAACAAAAATTCTGTAGCCTTGAAAAAGGTTTCCTTGCTGTTTTTTCTGAGTAATAGAGATCTTGATATTTTTTTGGTTTCTTAAATGAGATAAGGCAAATTCTAAATAAAAAATGATGATGCCAAATGACATGAAGTAGTGCTAGCTGATCAACAATCTGAATTTGGATATTATTAAAATAAAATTAATAACATTAATAATAATAATAATATAAAAATATTACTATTAATATTAATAACAACAGAAATCAGGTCATCTTTAAATATTTAACTGGGTTATATCAGACATGTATAGTAGAATTCAACACATTTTATAAAATTAGGATCACACACAATTATAATGTGAATACTTTCTATTAGAAATAATCATAAAGCCTTTTCAAATTTGCCTTTAGTATGCTTTATTAGAAACATTTTTATCACAATTAACATCTCATAACTCCATTTCTAGTACTTTAGAGTTTTTTCAAGATATCTCCAGGGATTAAAAATATGTTAAGTGTACAATTCTTCAAATTCTTTAATGTTTGTTTGAATCTCTGTCTGTCTGAATTCATAAGCAGGTGATTTATCATGTGCCACCAAAAATTATCAAACAAAAATCATCTGGTAGGTGACACATCACAAATCATGTGCTTGTGAATTAGAACAGTTAGAAATATGAATGAACTTAAATGTTTGATTTTTCATATTCTTTTAAACATACTCTTTTACCCCTAAAGTTGAAGCTTAAAAAACTTATAAGTATTAGGAATAGAATTATGAGATTTTAATTGTGATATATTTATTCTGCTTTATTGATTATAAGCTTAAAAATCATATTATAGGTATCCCTTGTATAACATTGTACTGTAGTTACATTTCAAAAACATGCTATGTTATGTGAATCCATGCTATACAAAACAAACGACTAAAACAAAACAGGATTGGGTTCCAAAAGTTAGCAAAAGTACACTATTCTGTTTTTGTTACTAGGAGAAATACATTTATTAAAGCAATCAATAATTAACTAACAATTGCAATTAAAAGTACTGTATTATGTGCACAAGATCTAAAACATGTTTATGGTGTGTGCCATGAGAAGTTACTAAAAGATCCCTAATAGTGCAAAAGCATGGCTGGATTTTTATGGATGGGTATAATGATACGAAATCAAGCACTGTGATGTACGTTCGATCATTTATGCTCAGCTTGAATGATTATCCCTGGATAGTCCAGAATTTATTAGATTTATTAGAGGCTTTGAAATTGATGAGCTTAAACTGTATTATGTGTTAATATTAATTTTAATTAAACCAAGGCACTTTATTTTTACAAAGTATTGTCATGCTTTTTGTTGATCTTAATCAAAAATATCAACAACATCGTTATTTTTTTATTTTTATCATAAAAAATTTTTATGAATATATCATCGTAACAATTCATACACTTGCATATTTATTTATATTTGGTTAAAATTTAATACATACCTATAAACAGTCTAATGCTTACTTAAGTAAAGGAATTACATAATGAATTAACCATGTTTAATGAATAAAAAAATATTATTGTATTTCCTTAATTTTAACAAGTATGATGCACCTTTTTTACCCATATTTACTGTTCAAAATAGACACATATCTTAGAGTTGATGGTATTTACATTTGCTCTCCAGAACAGCAATCAGCAGTTTCTGCAAGTAGACCACATGATACATGTATGCTTCAATAATAAATGTTTTGAGTGTATTAAGCATTCATGAGAGTTTACTGGTAAAAAGCAAAAGTTCCTTTTAATATTTAAAGTACTGTACCTTCAAGACATTATTATGATGTAGAATTAAAACAAATAATTATTGTATAAGCAAAAGAGCATGGAAATAGAGCAACTGAATATTACACATTTCATGGTATTTATATTGTTTCCCCAGCTTATTTAACAAAAGTTAATAAAATTGATTATTTAAGTTTTCCCTCTATAAAAAAATATCTTAAAATTCAGTTCACACTTGTGTTTTAGAATTGAAGAGGTTTGAGCAAGTTAATGCAATGCTTCATTTTTCCACTATTTTAAGAAAATACATTTTGAAAGGTTGATCAAATTATCAAATTGCATTTGGTAACTGAATGTTGTTTGCAGTTCTTTATTATTGTTTTAGGTTTCTTAAATGGAGTATTGGCATTATTTATGAAGAATTATGATGCACTTACTTTCTATTGAAGTTTTTTCAGAGGCACTGTATCAGTATTTTGTGGCTTGGTACTATGTTGGCTCTAAAGAATAACAATTGTATGTTGCAAGTTTGAATGTATTCAAACCTCCAACATACAACCTGTACAACCTTCAAATGAATATTCAGACAGATTGTTGACCAGTTGGTGCTACTTTGTCATTTGGCATCACCATTTTTTATTCAGAATTTGCCTTATATCATTTAAGAAATCAAAAGAATATCAAGATCTCTATTACTCAGAAAAGAAAGAAAGGAAACCTTTTTTAAGAATATAGAATTTTTTGATGTTTCTGTATCTGGGTTACAAATGATGGAAGCATCTGTACTATCATGGTCTGCCATGATGTCCCAATTGGGTTAGTCTGCAAAATGAGTGGCATTTGATGGGAACATAATATATTAACTAGGGAAGGGAGTGGGATAAATACATTTCATTCTTTATTCCATGTTACAGTAACATTAAAAGAGAACTTCAACTGACTTGACTGTGACAAAGGACCAAACTACTGTATTAAACCATTAACTACATAGTTCCCCATCATGCATGATGGAGAACACTCTAGTATAGCAATAATTGAACTGAGTAATCTACTCAATTCCATCTGTGACCCAGATACAGAACCATAACAAAAATTCTGTAGCCTTGAAAAAGGTTTCCTTGCTGTTTTTTCTGAGTAATAGAGATCTTGATATTTTTTTGGTTTCTTAAATGAGATAAGGCAAATTCTAAATAAAAAATGATGATGCCAAATGACATGAAGTAGTGCTAGCTGATCAACAATCTGAATTTGGATATTATTAAAATAAAATTAAGATTTGTGATCGAAAAATTAATTTTGTGATCTGAAATAATTCCATTCAACAAATTTTTATTTGCAATTTTAATTTATTCGATAGTAATTCACTCAAAAAATTAATTTTGTGATCTGAAAAAATTCTAATCAACAAATTTTTATATGCTATTTTAAAAATTTATTTGTAGTTATAATTTAATCGACATCTGAAATTAATTTTGTGATTAGTGCTACCCAAACCACTACTACTAACATTTCAACTAAAGACCTATGGTCAGAAATAGCCGACATAATTACTTGGCCAATAATCAGATTTGTTCGATTACAGATAAATTGAATAAAATACAAAATGGCATTAAAGAATTTAAAAACCAACAACAGACAGTAAACGAAAAAAGTAACAAGATGGCAATAAAAGAGTGGAAACTAAAAACTGAAAAAGCACAAATGCAATTTAAATTTAATATTTTAATATACAGCTCTAATTCATATAATACAATTGTTCAGCTAAAGAATANGTACATGTCTATCGTTGGAGAATCCTCGCACAGCTGAGGGTCTGTCCCTGCCTATCCTTCTTTTTAAGCACTTGTCTTTGCTCTTCCCTTTCTCTTTCCTCTATCGTTCTAATCCACGTATGCTTGTGCATACATCATGATACACGCTCACGATACTTTCGATTCGTCACTTTTCCGTCGTACAGTTCCTCCCATTTTACAATTATGTGACAGCCTGGTGATAACGGAGAAAAGAGACAGATAGCACGTCGATATAAGTCACAGTTATGATTTCACAGATTCGAGACAGCTTGATACCCCGAACGGCCCCAGGCTTTCGCCCGTGCACACTTAAGTGACTTTCATTACAAGCATTTAGCTTTCGGAAGTCTATGACAACAATTGTTTGGCATTGACGGCCGCGAATTTCGTGCTCAATTTCATATTTATTTTCACATTTTCACTTTGCGGTCCTTCTCTGTTCTTTTTTCGTTATTTACACGTGTAGGTCATTTCATTGTTATATACATTTGATATCATGATTTATTACATACTTCCATGACAGTCTTGTCTGTCCGCTACAACTGCCAAGAATTAACGCAATCGGCGAAGCGTAGTGACAGCGGGCCAATAAAGAGCAGGATCCTTGCCATAATGCGGTTTGCGCGCCAATTTTCGTACGTGCGTTAATCAAGCCGAATAGTTTGGCCGAATATTTGGCTATTCGGCCACCTCTTGGCTGAATATTCGGTATTTGGCCTGAGGCCGAATATACTATTCGTTACAACACTAATCAAGATCTCTATTACTCAGAAAAGACAGAAAGGAAACCTTTTTCAAGGATATAGAATTTTTGATATGTTTCTGTATCTGGGTTACAAATGGTGGAAGCATCTATACCATCAGATTTGAGTTTTGAGTGATTTTTTTTTCCCCAGAATTTTCCCAACTTTGACAATTTTGAATACTAAATTGTTCAAGTTGGAAACAGTTTAAGTGCTGAGATACCACTGTATTTTGTTTGTCATTTTTATGATTGATTACTTACCTACAATTAAAAAAGTTTAATAACACTTACCTAAACATGTTTAAATAAACTTTACTGAATATGAAGATTAATCTAAAAAAACAATACACAGTGTCAGTGTTTAAGGCTAAAGTCTGAAAGCAATGACAATGACACCTGGTTGATAGGAAAGCTAGGACAAGGACGAAAAAATTGTAATCAAACATCCATACTACACTCGATACGTTTAAACCCATACGTCAACCAAAGCCGAATATTATTGGGCTAGAAACGGCTATAATACTAATAATTTAATAGACAATTTGGCATTAGAGTTAGGTGTTAGGCGCCATCTCTTGATACATTTGATATTTATAATTTAATTAAATTTAAATAATAATTTTAGAATTATTGGAAGAAAAGAATCTGCCTGAAGCAGGAGTCGAACCCACAACTCCTGCTTACCGTGCAGATGCATTGCCAATGGATGTTTGATTATTTATAAATGCGTTGTCGGGGTTTGTGATATCCGGTTGAGTGTCTTGGAAGTTGTTTGCATGTTGTGGGCACTGAATGCGTCCCCAGCTGGCATTGTAATAACCGTCAATGGTTATATTGTTAGCTTATATATATACTGGAAGAGGAGATCGGATCGATGGTCCGGGTTGTGTTATTGGCAACGCATCTGCACGGTAAGCAGGAGTTGCAGGTTAGAGTCCCACTTCAGGTCGATTCTTTTTTTCCATTAATTCTAAAATTATTATTTTAATTTAATTAAATTATAATTATTAAATGTATGAAGAAATGGCACCTAATGCCTAACTCAATGCCAAATTGTCTATTAAATTATTAGTATTATAGCAGTTTCTAGACCGATAATATTCGGCTTTGGTTGATGTATAGAAAAAAAATTGTACTATCAGTTTTCATTAAAGTTAATCTGACACAAAACAAATGGAAAATTCAATATTCTAAAATCTGTGGGCAAATTTGAGACAATGTGCATGCTTACTTGAAAAAAATAAAAATGAAATAACAGAATTTGTTCTTAAAAATGTGAAATTTTGTACAGAGGATTTTCCAAATTCTCGAACTATGTTAGAGCAAAACCAGAAACCATGTTGTATGGTGATATCCCCAATTTTTGAACTGTGTTGTAGAAGTGCTGTGTTGTATGAGGGATATCTGTACTAAAAATCTTAATAAGATAACATTTTAGACTATTTTAAGCTTTTTTTAGCTGAACAACAAACTACAATTGCAAATATGGTATTTATTCTAATTGTATTGACATATATATATATGTTTACACTTTTCAATCATTAAAGTATTATTTTTAGAAAAATGCCTATCCAGCTGATGAATTGATGCCTTTAAGTTGCAAGGGTAGGTTCAGAGATACAGAGCCTAGTCGTGGAGATATTGATGATGCTCTGGGAAAGTAAGTCTATTTTTTTGTTTTACAAGTGGTACTATATTTAAATTTTATAATTATAAACCTGAAATTTATGTTTTCTATGAATTCAATTATTGGATTTATGGAATCAGTGTTTCTCAATTATTATTCTACAATATCTTCTAAATTTTATTAGTTTTAAATAAAAGTTTAGTAAATAAGAAGTATGATGTCAAAAGTTACCCCATCTGAAATATAATGCAATGTCCATTGTCATGCATTTGTTTGTAATGACGCATGTAAAATATGCTAGAAAGAACAACAAAATGATACTCCTTCCATCACTCATGTTGCAACAATGTCATGTTTTGATAACATGCAGTGAATGAAATTTGCATTAAAGAGAGAATTTTCTGAACTTGATATTCACTGAAGACCAAAATATGCATACAGTGAAACCTGCTAATGTGACCATCAGCATAAAATGATTACTTTGAGTCCCTTCAGTGGTCATGTTAGCAGGTTTCACTGTGTGTAGAAGTTTGCATGAATGTTTGCAGTGCCATACAATTAGATAATGGGGCAAATATTTCAAGGATGGCAAAACAGACATACAGATCAGTCTCAAAATAGTCAAGAAAGGATTGTTTCTAATGAAATTAAGAAAGAAAGACTTAATTCTCTTATAAGAGAAAATGATCACAACTTTAGAATATAACAATTGCAACACTTTAAAATTCAACATAAGAATGGAAAGGAGGTAATAATGAGTTTGGATTACAATGTGTCCCACTGGGTTCTTTGGTTGCTGTTGGATAATTGTAAGTTAGAACTCATTCCCTGAACAGGCTAGATCAGATCCCTTGTATCTTGATAGTCAAAGTAGATTCTATCAATAACTCTACACCTTATATACTTTTCCAACAATATTTTAATTAAAACAAACATTTTTGACCTCATTCAGAGGTCTTCCTCAGGTCAAAAACAATTTTAACAGCTTATTTAATAGAAACAATTTTAACATGAGTTCTAACAGCTTATTTTAAATTTCTGGAATGCTCTAAATTTTAAGCTGTTAGAACTCACTGTTTATCAGTGGCATGCCATCATTGGAAGCGGTGGATGTGCTGCTTCCCTTGTATTTTCTAAAAAATAAATACATATTAATTTTAATTATATGAAAATAATCGCACAATATTTTATTATAACCGCATTATGTATCTTATTACAAATTTCTATACTACGTGTGAAAAAAAAGATAAGATTGCTATTGTATATTCGAATATTAGTGGAGGAGTCGAAGTGCTGTATTGTCAGCTTCCAAAAAACTAGATTCGTGCATGCGCTTTACAGAGCACCAGCCTCACCTGGTTTAGCCGGTGGAAGCCTAGGACCTTGGGTGGATGCTACATGTGTAACACATCCAGTTCTATCCAGGACCGGTTCTGGGCTGTTAGTCTCCTGCCTGCTAGATATTTGGCTGCCTTCACTCCATTATGTGAATCACAAGTAGATTTATAACTTAACCCAACAGATAAGAGTTTACTGGTATGTTTTTATGATAGTTCTGTATAGTTGACAGGAGTTAAAAAAAAATCCATTAAAATATTTGATATTTTTATTCCACTCTCTGATTTTATATTACTCATGGATTTCAATGTTAAACCAATGATATTACGATTTCGTATATCCCATCTTTAAGGGGATGTAGAAAAAAACGTGTAAAATTCTTATATAATGTTAAAAAATTAACTGTTACTTTGACAGCATCATTTACAACTAAATTTAATAAATGAGAGAGATGCATGAGGTTCAGAAAAAGCTCTAGAATTTATTTTTCTTAAATTTATGATTTATATATCCGTTTGTTATAAAAATTTCTTTCCAATTTTTCCCGAGACTACAAATATTCGAGTACAAAGTAACTGGTTTTGACTTATTTAACTACTTAAGAAGTAGTTAAATAATTAAGCGATTAGGGAATTGGGGACATAAATAAAACCCTGATGAAAGAGCCGAAATTTTACTTAAACAAAAGCTTAACTGAACCATCTCTAGCTAAGTACAGTGGAGACTGATCTCTTCAAAATATTAGACATAATAAAGACAGAAATTTTCCAGTTCAACGAGAGTGGCCGAAAAGTTGTAAATTTTGGAAATTTCCGTGGACAACACCTGGTCCTAAAACGAATCAGTTAGAAAACAAATGACAGACAATCTATTAAGTTTAACATATTTAGATTTTTACAGCTATGGTGAGAAACGTTTAAAATCTACAACAGCCCTGTCGCGTCCTTTGAGATATACTAGTGATGCGACGAAAGAGGTATTTGACATTGACCGGTATCGTCACCCTGGGGATTTGGCAGTCGGCGTGTATGCACGCCCTGCAACCATCTTCAATTCCATCCATTAGCCACTCGTAGGGAGCTATTTGACTAAGTGCATTGTTTTAAGATTTTAAAAGTAAAGAATATTTTATATTTTTATGTGTGTTTCTTTACAAAGCTATATTTATTTATAATTTTCTTTAAAAGTACATCCATACAATTAAAGAATATTTTGTACCAGGTATGTATCGGTACATCCACCACACATTTTATTTCACTGAGTAAGTTTTTATAATTTTATTTTTAATTGTAGCCCTTATATCGTGGCTAGCGATTGTGAATGTAATTGTGATATTAAAAATGCATTTAGAGAAGTCTATGGTTTTTACTGGCTTATCGAATAAACAATATGAATGGACTCTAGACTGTCACTGATGTACAGTTGACTGATTGCCCCTGGATGTCGACTTCTTACAGAAACACAGCTTCCCTATGATCAAATGTCATGGCATGCCACTGCTGTTTATATGTTTTTGATCTGAAGCAGATCTCTAAATGGGGTTGAAAACATTTATTTTAATTAAAATATTGCTGGAAAACTATACAAGGTGTAGAATTATTGGTATATTGATTTCCATTTTCTGCAAGTGTTTTTCTGTAGATTTTATCCCAAGGAAATTGGAAACTTATGGAAAAATAGTAAATATGCAGTTTTGTATCTTTTGCAAAAATTTGGAAACTTTAGAGGCAATCCAAATCTGTTATGAGATTAAAATCATTAAAAAAAAATACCACTTTTATACTTCTAGAAAAATAATTTTTTATGCTATAAAATCCTCAGACAACATAGTTATAAATTCTTTATAGAGTAAAGATGCTTATATTTAAAAATAGGTTTTTTTTCAAACATTGGTTAATGTTTTGATTATATAGTATATCTCTCCAAATTATATATTATTGATCACTTAATTATAATTATATATCATTGAATTATGCAGGGGTTGCTTTGGAAAATTTTAAAAATATTTCGTCAGTATGTAATAATAATTTGAAGTGATGAAAAAAATATTTAAAATTTTTTTTCACCACCAGTTTTACTTACTAATTATTGCAGGTGCTGGTAGACAAACAGTTTGTCATCTGGAAAGCAAAAGTAAGGTATTAGTTATAAGGAGAGGGCTGATATTCGGGTCTCCTATTCCAATGAAACTTGATAAGCACATAGCCTTAAACACAAACAAGTCCATGTCCAAATAATAGGACCCACTTCTCAAGCATTTCCAAAAACTGTGCCTCTGAAAATTGAGTGTTTAGCTTATAAGTAGTGTTGCAACGAATAGTATATTCGTCCAAACTATTCGGCTTGATTAATGCATGTACAAAAATTGGCACACAAACCGCATTATGGCAAGGACCCTGCTCTGTAATTGCCCACTGTCACTACGCTTCGCCAATCACACTAATTCTTGACAGTTGTAGCAGACAGACAAGAAGACAAGAGCGTCATGGCAGTATGTGATAAGTGATGATATCAGATGTGGATAACAATGAAATGACGTACACATGTAAATAACAGAAAAAGAACAGAGAAGGAGTGCAAAGTGAAAATAAATATAAAATTGAGTTGATAACATAATCAAACAAGTCGAAGCAGCTTATTGGCGTGAAATTTGCAGCCGTCACTGCCAAACAATTGTTGTCATAGACTTCGGAAAGCTAAATGCTTGTAATGTAAGTCACTTAGCGTGCATGGGTGAAAGTCTGGGACCATTCAGGCTACCAAACTGTCTCAAATCTGTGAAATCATAACTGTGACTTATATCAATGTCCTATTTGTCTCTTTTCTCCGTTATCACCATGCTATGAGTCATGTAATTGTAAAATGGGAAATCTATGACGGAAAAGTGACAAATTGAAAGTATTGTGAGCGCATATTATGATGTATGCGTAGGCATACGTGGACTAGTGCCATAGAGGAAAGAGAAGAGCAACAACGAGTGCTTAAAAAGAAGGATAGGCAGGGTCAGATCCTCAGATGTGCGATGATTCTCGAACGAATAGGTGTGTACGTGTGCTGATCTTTGTAATTATAAATTGTGAATACATGTGACTAATATTATTTTCATTTTTATTTTGTGCATGTTACAAGTTATAAATAAATATAAACAAACAACACTAACGCGATAACATTAAATCTAAATACCAAAATGANGGACTGCAAAGAGAAAATGTGAAAATAAATATGAAATTGAGTTGATAACGTAATCTAACAAGTCGAAGCAGCTTATTGGCACGAAATTCACGCCTGTCAATGCCAAACAATTGTTGTCATAGACTTCGGAAAGGTAAATGCTTGTAATGAAAGTCACTTAGCGTTCACGGGCGAAAGCCTGGGACCGTTCGGGCTACCAAGCTGTCTTGAATTTATGAAATCATAACTGTGACTTATATCAATGTCCTATTTGTCTCTTTTCTCCATTATCACCATGCTATGAGTCATGTAATTGTAAAATGGGAAATCTATGACGGAAAAGTGACAAATTAAAAGTATTGTGAACGCGTATTATGATGTATGCATAGGCATACGTGGACTAGAGAGATAGAGGAAAGAGAAAGGAAAGAGCAAAGATGAGCGCTTAAAAAGGATAGGCAGGGTCAGACCCTCAGATGTGCGATGATTCTCGAATGAATAGACATGTACGTGTGCTGATCTTTGTAATTATAAATTGTGAATACATGTGACTAATATTATTTTCATTTTTATTTTGTGCATGTTACAAGTTATAAATAAATATAAACAAACAACACTAACCCAACTAATAGTGAAAAATAGGCCGAATAACGAATAGTAACTGAATATTCGTTACATCACTAGATAGGAAGTTTCACTTGGGATACAGAGAATTATTTCTGTCTACTGCCCTAAGGCAAGATACAATTTTATCAACAACCTTGATTTTTATTTAGGGTCAACTCATGATATTCTTTGAGGTAGTGACTTCAGCTTTGTTGAGAAAGCTATAGATAGACTAGGAAAACCAGAAACAAAAGGAAAAGTTAAATTTTCCAGAACCTGAAAGACCAGTTTTACCTTAGACATCAGGTGTAAAATGAACTCCCATAAACGTGAAGTTACCTATCACCAAAATAATTCCTATTCCAGGTTGGATAGATTCTACGTTTCCAGTCATCTCCAACATGTTGCATCACAATGAGAAATCATTCTGATCATTTAACAAACCATAGTGATGTTATTCTAATACTTGTCCTTGCTAAACAGAGAAGCAAATGCAAACAACTTAACTACATTCTGGAAAATAAAAGCTAGCTTACTGAAAGATGTTGCCGACACAACCCTAAGTGTGAGAAACCGTGGGCAAAGGGTTAATCCCTCTTGACCACTTATTCAGCAGCAGTCTGGAAGGACCGCTCACGTTGTTGTTCCGGATGGCTTTTTATCGAGTGGCGAGGGAGGTGAGGAAGTCGGCAGGCATCCTTTCAGATACAGGAAACAGGTTTAACAAAATAACAAAGCATTTATTATACAGCTAACACTAAAATACAGGAGGCTACACAGGGTTAAATGTGTATCTCTAGGTTATATAGGGTTAAATGCAATTAACATAATATACCAAAATCTATGATTTTGACACTTGCTTGTCTATTCTGTGAAGGCTATGCCTACTTCCGTTACGAGAGAGAGTTCGCAGTTAGCTGAAAAATTACCTCTAAAGTTGGAGGAGTTCTATATGCTGTGATAAAAGTTCTTTATGGAAGCGTTGGGTGTTGTCGATGTTTTCTACCGTTACAGGAGACAAGGAATCACTATGACCAAGTATAACTTCCATGTGTGAACTCCTGAGCGTCCAGTGGCTTGCACCTTTTATACCATTGTCGTGGGAAATCTAACATGTGATCGACTTTTGTTGATGATGACGGTGCATTCTTGACACCTGTGTGTCAACTTTCCCACTGACTTGTTACTACAACCGATGACCTCTGATCTATTTTCTATCTCTCCATTTTTTTCTAACTAAGATATTTACAATTTTACAATGGGCATTAATTTTTTTTTGGATTTTAAGAGCCCCGTAAAACTCCACAGGCTCAAATAAGCAATTTTTAACGTCAAAGAAGAAAAGGACTGCGCTTGGTGGTAATCTATGAAAAGTTAAAAGCATTGCAATTAATATAAGTATAGAAAAGGAAAAAACAACTTTGTAAACATTACAATGACAGGATATGAGTTAAAACAAGTATATAATGATAAAACTGTAGATCCAGATAAACATCAGACAGTCATAGCAAATGCAAAAGCCAAAATTTAACATGAGAGATGCCTATATGGAGTGTTTATCTGATCTTGTAAGGAACTATGTGAGCAGGAAGCTCATCCATCCAGGAATTTTACCAAATGGAACAGAAGCACATTCACTCTAAAATGATCAATGCAATAATAAATGAGAATAATGAAATTATATCAGACGAGGAAAAAATAAAAATTTGTTTGCCTATATTATTCAAAAACATTTGAAAGATAAAACTTTGACAAAGAAAAGCGTCTCATCAATGCTTAATGTGGTTTGTGTAACATAACATAAATTATCTGGATCTTTAACTTTTAAATCGCATACATCCTGCAGGGTTTGCACTAAAACTGTAGGATTACTCACCCTTCCTCTAATTCACAGGTATTTCAATCCCTAATGCCAAAACTATTTGACATACAGGTTACTGAGTTAAACAGAAACATCACATATCCAGAATGCATAGCAGCACTGAAGAGCATGCCAAATAAGAAATCACCAGGACCCAGATGGGCTACCTATAGAATTTTATAAACAATTTTTCTCTCTGATAGGACAACAATATACAACAATGCTCTGAAAACCAACAAACTTACTTTAATCATGGAATAATTACCCTCATTCCTAAAACCAATAATAAGGAAGAACAAGTGAAATTACAAACTGGAGACACGTCTCACTACTTAAAATCATTTACAAGATCCTCACTAAAGTCTCTGCTGCTAGATTGCAGACCTGCATCCTTCTAATCATTGATGAATACCAAACTTGCAGCCAGTCCATACATTCTAATATTTTCCTCTTGCAAATCATCTATGAGCTAGCCAACCAATGCTACAACACATGTGGCTTTCTACAAATAGAAACCTCCACAAAGCCTTTGATAATATTGGACATGATTTCCTCTGGCTCCTGAGCTTCAAAGACTAAGTTAAACACTCAATTTTCGGAGGCCCAGTTTTTGGAAATGCTTGAGTCGTATTATTTGGACAAGGACTTGTTTGTGTTCAAGACTACACGTTCACCAAGTTTTGTTTGAATTTGTAACCTGAATGTCTGGTTCTCTCCTTTTTTAGCAATAGGAATCATTTTGAATAATTTTTTAAAGAATAATTTCAAATAACACATTTGATAACAATATTTAAACAGTATTTCACATGTTCTGTCATGTCAAAATTTTTGCTTTAGTCTACTGAAAAAGATCAAAGTGAAAGTTTAAACAATTCCCCAAATTTTCTGTCAGTCAATAAAAAATTCCCAATCCAAAAACACTGGGTGCCTTTGCACAAAACTGCCTTTGGTTCTCAATGTCACTTCCTATTTTTCTGCCTGAATTTGTCATCTGATGTCATGAAATTGCTAGGTGCATGATAGGTGGAAGCTTGACTTTCTGTTGTTTTTTCTGAAGTGTGCTTTGTGATTCAGTTTCGTGCTGAATGTTAAAATAAGTGGACTAGGGATTTATTGCCAGTATTATATTTTTATTGACACTTTAATAAAAATATTGCTTGCTGATTTTGGCACTATACAGCATGAACCCTGATTATGTATTGATTAATAAATTCAAAATTACATAAATATGGTAGAAATTCATAATCTAGAATTCTTTAATATTATAATCTGGCATGCTTGTAAGCTTATTTTTAAAATATATCTCAGCAAAAGTTACATTATTGATCCAACCAAAGGATTAGGAGGTGAGCCAGAATTTTATTTAACAGCTGGTTGAATTACTATCAGTATACAGCATTAAAGGTGCAGTGTATGCTGCTGTCATGAACAGTGTTTGAGAGTCTACTCTGAAAAAGTTATAATAGAAACTTAACTTAGACCTGCTGTTATGCATCATGACAATCTCTCCTATGATGATAAATCTGCTGTGATGAAAAAAGTGCTACCAGCAACATGCAAATAATTTTTCAAGCTGCATCTGAGAACAATTCAATAGCATGTTTTTAGAAAATGAAATTGATGAGTGGCTACATATAGACAAAAGAGAAGCTGTTGTGAAAGTTTTGACTGCTGCTAAAAATCATTTAAAATTATTATTAATTCATAAAGACTTGCAGAAGCAGAAGACAATGAAGTGAATGAATCCACAAGATACTCCTGGCTTGATGCAACTAAACACATCTCAACACGATTTTGTGAAGCTTACTTAACCATTTTGAAGTTTAATAACTCCTTTTGTTAAATGTTTCTGAAATTTTGCAAGGAGGTTTGTGTATTAGGGGGATTGATGCTATTAAATTTTGGTGGTTAAAGGTCAAGGAGTAGAGAGATAGATGGGGATCATGTGTCATATCTTGAGTGGTGTAAGACTTAATGAAGATTTTTATTTGTTATTAGCATTAACAATTTTTTATAAAACTCATCTGTATCCTCAAAATTAAGCTTTTTTGTTATTTTATAATAATTAATAACATAAATGTTTTTAATAAAATCTTGTAACAGATGGTGCCATATGCAATTTTAAATGTTTTTGCCATGAAAGTTACGCATGTCATTGATGGAGTTTTTTGCTGCTGTGAGTAAAAGTGGTTGGTGCAAGCACTCGCATTTAAATATATGTATTCCATTTTGCGAACTAAAATTGTTATTCTGCTTAGTTTGTTTCATTGTTAAGAAGCCAGAATGTCCAGCTAGATATTGTAAAATGATATTTTAAAAATTATAAAGAACTATAAAGTAATTTACAAGATAAAGAATACAAACTACTTATATGATTTAAATAAAAACATTTGACTCTTCTATCTTTAATAAAGCTATAAACATAGTTTCATATACAGTCGACCTCCTCTATAACAAACACTGTTGATAATTCCTTTTATATGAATTCCATGTTGTACGAGTCACTTAGATTTTACAAATACATGTGCTGGGCTCTGAACGGCTCACGTATTTGTAAAATCTAAGTGACTCGTACAACATGGAATTCATATAAAACACAATAATCAACAGTGTTATATGGATGTCAACTGTATAGTAACATTTATAGTTTCATTGTTATTTTCACATATGCAAGTTTTTGAAGCCAAATATTAAATATAACTGGTTTACCAGTAATGCAATCACTAATATTGTACATTCTAACTACAGAATTAAACTTACTATAGTATACATGTATACATCCTTATCCAGAAGATAAGGTTGTATAGTATGTTTATAAAATAAGAGCAAGTTTTATAAATAATGATTTTAACCATTATTTATAAATCTTGCTCTTATTTTATATTTAAGTTTTGAGAGACAGCAAGGCAATTAAAAAAAAACCATCAGAATTTTAAAACAAATGAAATTATATATAATATATTTTACATAAGATGTATAATCTAATATTTTGAATATATTTGATTGATTAAATATTTTCAGCTTTTCCTTGACTCTTGTGGATACTCTAGATACTTTAGTGGTAAGATATGTTTTAAACTTTTTAAATAGAATTTATTTAAATAAAAATTTCCATTACCAATACAACTGATAAATTTTTATAGTTATTAGGAGATTTGGATGAATTTGAACATGCTGTCAGACTTATTATAAAGGATATAACATTTGACAATGATGTAGTAGTTTCTGTATTTGAAACAAATATAAGAATGCTTGGGTGAGTTCTTATAAAGTAAATTGATTTTTTCTTAAATGCTTTGATTTGCAGTAACAATGAATTATTTTGTAAAAATAATTACTACACCAGACGATTTTAAGATAGATAATTTGTTAATCTTAAATTTTTATACTTGATTTTATTTATACAGTATATGTAAAACTGCTTCCTTTAGCTGCTGCTTATTTGATTAAATGCAATGATTTTTAAATTTGTTGTGTGATTAAAAATATTTACTTGAAGAATTAATGTTTATATGATATTTCAAAAACTAATACTTAAGCAATATTGATGGCTAACATTTTTGATTTTGAAGCACTTCAGATTTTCATTCTGAATTTTTTTGGTGTTGATTTATAAAACAAAAATTAGTTTAAAGTAAATGGTTCAAAATTTTAGAAATTTGAAAAGATGTAAAATATTTTATTTTTTTTAAATTAAGATTTCCAGTTTTCACAAAGATTTTTTTCAAGATGATCTGTCTGATAAATGCAAGTAAAAGAAAATGTATTATTATATCTTTCCAGTTCTGCTTACCATAATGGAATTTGTATATGGAAATGATGACTTAATACAATTTTAAAAAATTTTAAAGATTAAATTGTTGAAAAATTGAATAATTTTTTTAGATTTCTCTCTGACACTTTTTTAGTTGATTATGCTTGACCAATATTGTTTTTCTTAAATCATCACTACTTATGAACATTACAAAGTGCTCCTACTTTATTATTTTATTGACTTAATAACATAGAACAGTGGTTCCCAATTAGTGGTACGCGAAATTGCGTAAAGGGGTACGCGCGGCAATCTAAAATCGGTCGATTTAAAATTGAAATGCATGAGATGAAGCAATAAAAAAAATAATGGATGGACCATGAAAAATTCAGCAATTTACAAAATGATGTTGAATGCACAAATTCGTTTATTTATAACTAAAAATAATCTCAAAATTTCATTAAAAAAATGCATTTGTGACAATACCTAAATGAAATTCTTACGCAAGAAACAAAAATTGTACAATTAACACAAATTGTGTTAATTGTACAATTATCATTATTATCATGTCAGTGAAGTGGCAATAAAATATTTACCGCTATTTTGCACAACGTACCTCTGCGAGAGCGGATTTTCGGCCATGACAAACATGAAAACTAAACATCGTAACCGACTTCAACTCGAAGATGACTCGAGACTAAAGCTGATCAAAAAGCAACCAGATTTTGCAAAGTTGTGCAAAGAAAATCGTGCACATTTGTAACATCAAAATTAAATAACCTTATGTTATTTTCGTTATTATTAAAATTGTATTTTAAAGGTAATAAATGTAAAAAAAAAAATTATTCTATTTATCACTAGCTGTCTACCTACAGCTTCGCACCGCATTATATGGAATTTTCTTGTGGGAGTAAGATATTTTCTCGCAGTAAAATGTAGCCCATGTTCATCTCCAACATGTAAGCTATCTCTGTGCCAAATTTTATTAAAACCTGTTCAGTGGTTTAGACATGAAAAGGTGACAGACAGACATAATTACCTTCAAATTTATAATATTAGTATGGCTTAATATGAATTTCTGCTATAAGGGGTATGCGAGTTTGAGCTCTTCTTAAAGTGGTATGCAGGAAAAACTAATTGGGAACCACTGAATTAATCGATTCTAGACTAATTTGATTCAACATTTCCAAAACACGTATAATTTTTTGGGAATAATATGTATAAACTATGCTATAAACAAAAAATT